TCAAGGAGGGGCCCCTTAAGAATATCGCAACAAACCCAATGTAAATGCCAACCAGCGGGATCCAACCGAGCAAAAGCATATTTACTTAGCGCGTCGCCAGAGCTTGGCAGTATGTCCTGCGATTTGGCGCGGCTGAAATCGGCGCAGCGGGCCTGGCTTTTCCGCTTCGGTTCGTCTTCTGGCCAGCCAAGAGCAGGGCTACATGAGACAGACAACTAGTACTGGCGGTTCCTTGTGCACAGAGGGGGCACCTCCTTCACGGAGGGGGGGCGCCTCCAGGATTTCTTTCACAAGGAAACCTTTGTTTATCAAAGTGCAGGTTTCGGTCAAGCAACTTTTTTCGTCATTTCGGGGATACTTTGAACCACTTCCCAGTGAGGTGCCATCTTAGTGGTCGAGAGCGTGTGTCCGGAAAATTGGACACGTGCGGGGTCCTCGGGGGCTTCTTTGAGAGCCCGAGGTCGGCCTTGCGCGATTGGGAAGAATCCCGAGCCAAGGACCGACATTTTTCCCTTTCGCGGCCGAGGCGTTTTTGTTTTTGTCCAGAACACGTTGTCCCAACGAACCGCTGTTGAAGTGAGGTCTCCCCACTTGTTCAGCGGGACCCAAATCGCAAGGCAATCCTCAAAGCTTACCTTGGGTTCCGGAAAGGGTTTGCTACTGGTTTTCAAGAGTCACTGAACAACTGGGTCTCGCAAAGGAAGGTCCATGCACACCAAGTATTGCATGGAAGGGGGCGTAGTCCCCCAATAAATATTGCCAGCTTTGTACATTCCTTGGAATGTGTCTACATGGAAAATGATGTACAGAGGGGGAGTCAGGTGTTTCCCAATTCAGGGCAAGGATCTCAAATCCGGTCACTGGCCTTCTTCAAAACAAAAGGGGATACTGTATTGCTGCTGATCGAGTTTGGGGCTACGGGGCCCAATCAAATCCACGATGGGAGGAGTGTGGTGGAGGGGGTAGGAACAGACACCAAGTGGCCATTCGTCCAAACAGGCTGTTCATTCAGAAAACGCATCCCGAGGCGGGGCGGGGCGGGGGGGCTCTTTTAGTGCAAACAAAGGCATGCACCCTATGTGAGAAACGCCAGATCCAAGAGTGGTGCATCTTCTTTCAAGCTGGCCGATCACACAAACATATGGGTGTGTTCTTTGTTGAGGCCCAGTACCTTTTTCGGGATTGTTTCAATAAGCAGCCAAAGGGAGCCTGCTTAAAGGCAAAACTATTTTGATCTCCCTTTATCCCCTGTGTTTCGTTTTTCTGAAAAAGGACACCCCTAAGAGGACATTAAACCATTTTGTGGAAAGCCCATTCGCCCAACTGCCCGCGGTTTTCAGAACTTTGCTGCGTGGCGCGCAGCGGTCGCTCGCCTTCTGGAGGGCTTGCAGGCAGCAGTGAAGCTAGGCGGGAGTCAAGGGGTTGCTCCCGGACGGGCCAATCATGTTTTTTCAGGTCCCATTTCGGCGGTTTTCCTTTTGGGGCTCGAAACAGGAAAACTAGGATCACAGCTTTCGCAAACTTGGGTGTGTTCCAAAATGAAGACTTGGACCCCAAGATGGTTGGGTCCTTTGGGTGTCCCTATTTCTCAAACAAATGTTGGGGCTGGCGCCTGATCAAGGAGGGCTGACTCACTGACTTTCCAACCCTGAGAGGGGACGATATCGCCACATTCGGATTTGCTCCACTAATTGTTACACGACTTGGGTGATTTTGTTTGGACCCCTCTGGGCGCCTGACACTAGTAGGTCTTCTCTTAGCATTCACTTAAATGGTTCATCCAAACAGCCTTGAAACTAGCCACCTGCCCGTTTCCAAACAAGTGGGCTCCACCATGTCCAGGGCTCTCTTATATGCCTGGTTCACATCAGGGTCAGTTTTCAGTAGGAGTGCTGCGATTTGGAGGCATCTCCATATGGAAAACATGGGACTTGGACCAGAGATGGGCAGGTAGCCTTGTTGTTTTGCCAACAATGAAACAATACTTGTTCTGCAGCGTGGCTCTTCCAAAAGATCGAATACTCCAACAGCAAAGTCTCAGGAAGTTGGCCAACACAGTATTGAAAGAGTATTTGGTTCATTTCCAGTACAAATTCCTTTGGGACCCTTCAGAAAAATAGGGGGATCTTGCTCATATCCCATCGTTGATAAGATCCACACCCGCACCCCCGTACCCCAACACCCCCTCAGTTTTCCTGAACATAAGACCCTCACAATCACTTCCCGCTTCCCACTATTATGCGATGCACCCTGTTTGTTAACATTGTTCTTTCCAGACCCTGATCTCACCAATACTCAATTAGAAGCAAGCAATCCTAAGCCAACTCTAAACTTATTTGAGGAAGCTGGTTGGAGAGGTGGGGGGGCGTGTGATCCTTGCTTGGGAATTCTTTGGAGCCCCGCTTCGTATGTTCGCGCCTTGCGCCAGGCGCAGTGCAGCATGCACAGCTGCAGCAGCTGCTGCTGCAGCGCAGCGCGGCCGACCGCGCCTATGCGCAGGCCGGCTGCTTGGACCGATCAGAGGTGGCTCTTGGATGGGTCAAACGGACACCAAAAGGAAAGTCATCAGTTGGATGGGTCCCAGAATGTTGAGACAACTCTGGCTGGAGTTCTTTTGAAAGGGGTGGCTTCAAGAGTTCCTGCTAAAACATTCGCCAAAGGGATGCTGTGAACAAAAAGACATGCTCCATTTCCCCTTTCAGCCTGATCACCTTGTGGAACACGCCAAAATTGAAGTGAGACTCCCTTGTTTGAATGGGGTTCGGAGCCCCTAATCCGGGTGGGTTCTCTTTGGTTTCCTTTCAATGCACTAAACGCATGTATTTTGTATCCATTTATGCTGAGAAGTGTGATTTAGGCACCTCTGTTGCGCGTGCCTTCTTCTCATCCCTTCTCTTTGGGGGTGCGTGCGTTTGCACGCGCGGGCCCGCTGCCTTTGTGTGCTTTGGCAGCGCGTGCGTGTGGGCTGCCCAGGCCGTGCCGCCTTGGTGCACCTGTTTGGTTTTCAGGGTTGGTGAGATGTCGGGAGGGAAGCAAGAGTTAGGCCGAAGCGTGTTGCAGGTCGCTCGTGTTTGCCTCTTTTTTTTTATCTCCTGTCTCTCTCCTCTCTCCCTCCTTCTCTACCTCCCTCCCTTTCTCTCTCTCTCTCTGATTTGAGGCACCTTTTGTAAAAGGATAGGAAAGGAACACTCCTTTTTGGTACGTTGATGTTTAAAGGAGAATTGTGGAACACCCTGTTGGATCGACTTGTGAGAGCAAGAGGCCCTTTCAACTTGATGAGGTAGTTATGCCGATGCCCCACATCGGTGCCACAGCACGGGCGATTTTCTGGAGCCATAGCCCTCAGAAGGCCATTGAGTGGATTCGCCCCTCCAATGGACACGTACTAAGTTGTTGCGAATCGCATTGAGTTCAGATCAAAGTATTGTCCCTGTTCCCCTTTCATCCCCATGCACCTGCTGGGCATCGGTGCTCGCGACATCGAACCCCCATGTTGCCTGATGCATGTCCAATACATGAACGGGTTTCCAGTAGTTAAAACCAGTGACTCCCACATGGTTGGTCTCTCAGAGGCCCAGTTTTGACCCGTATCGATTTGAGGTGCAATGAAAACCGACTCAGGTAGATAAAGTGGTGACATAGTCCCCTTGCAGAAATGGTGCGGATATCCGCCGCTTTAAATGTTTAGCATAGGCTTTCGGTAAATTTCTAGCGTACCAGATTTGATAATGACTCATTCGATTCCAGAAGGATTTTTGAGGGCCTCAAAAGGATTCACCTAATGTTCGCACGTCACCCAACTGGCTCACGGACCAGTCTGCTACTCAGGATTCTCACCCACGTCAGGAATTTGTGCATCCTACGGTCATTGTTGGAGTTTTCACTACACATATTGCGTCCATGCACGCGGCACGCGAAAGCGGTGTCAGGCATTGGCTTGGATAGCTCCCGAGAAGGACCGCTCGCGGAAGTTTTCGTTCGGCTCTATGTGTTCCGGCAGAGACCATTTACTCACTTTTCCAAAACGTATCCGTGTTTTTGCGACCGCTTGATATTCAGATGTTGTGCTTCAGTTTGCCCTCAAAGTTCAAGGGGACAAGACGCAAGTAAAAATGCGACGGAGAGTTGAATTCCGGACGGGTGGCTCAGCCAAAGTTTGGGCAAACACCACAGCCTCAGCGATACTCGGTATGACTTTCTCATTGGTCTGCATCCCTCAACTGTGCGGTCGGACATGGTGTTCGAACGAAGGCAGCACATATTGACTGATACCTCAAACCTCCAAACAACAGCGCTTTTTAGAAGACTATTTTTGCATTGCCAGACTGAGCCTCGTTTTGTCTTTGAGCCTTCTCGGTCCGGCAGCAAACATATTATGGCTTGCTACGCAACGGACCATTGCAATGCAGGAAGCAAACAGTTTACTTTTTGCTGGCCCAATTCACTGGCGGTTTGTCTACAATCCCGTCATTCGTGGATCAGGGCAACTCACACGTCTATAGGAAGCGGTTGACGCGGCGGCTCAGAGGCGTGGTGGAATATGGTTTTGAATCTTGGATGTTTTGAGGGGCAAGCCCCTGCAGTTGGTTGTTTATGTTTTGGCTTTCCTCTACAAACATCCAAGTAGTGAGACTGTCCCCTTTCAGTGCAATAAGTTGCCTGCAAACATGTGCCACGTGCGTTTGCATTTTGATGCAACCTGAGCCTTCATACCATGAAGTGTCCGCCGCTTGCTGCGCAGGCTGAATTCATGCTTGCTTTTCATGCCCGTATTTCATGCATGGCCCATGCACAATGCATTTGGACAGACGTTCATGCGTTCACTTGCAAGTATGAAAGTCAGTCGAGACTTCTTGCATGGCATTGCATCCCAAGCACATTCAGACGCATTCCAGAAACACCTGAAATCGATTTTGTCAGACATGTGTTCAACCCTGAAATCCTCTGAACATGTTTGGTGTGATGTTGATTCCATTTGTTCAACGCTGGCAACTCCAAAATGCGTCACTGACGCGTGGGACGCGCGCAGAGCGCTTCGCGGGCCACTTGCGTTGTAGCCATGAGTCTCGGCTGGCTCACGGAAAGCTCGCTGATCCCGAAGGAGCTTCGCCCTCGGAGGTCGAGGTCGAAGCGTTGAATTAGTCTTCACTTTGATGTTTGACAGGGTCTCTTTACGTGGTTGCATTTTGAGGGGTTCTCAAAATTACAAATGGGGGAAATAGGTATTTCCATGGTGAGATGTTAGCCAATCCTTGTTGGTCCAGCTGAAACCATGGTTTCAAACCTACCAAGGAGGTTGAGCACGCAAGCACGGCATGAGCAAATTCCCTGGTGTCTGAAATGAAACCGTTTTCATGAGAGGAATGCCATGGACCGTGGCTTGGAGTTTTGCCAGAAGAAATGACTCTGTCAACCGGTCCCGATAGCGCCTACCAGGGCCTAAGAGCAGGCAATGGCAGGATTTGGTTACCATCAGAAGTGGCGTTCCAGGAACCTGTGCAGGTTGGTACATCTCGGTTTTCGGTGCCAAATGCACGTTGACGTCCTGAGTTTCGAGTCGCCAACCCGCATGTTTGGCAGTCATTGGGACCTCTCAGTTCACTTGTTACTCTCCCAGAGTGGCATGGAACCTCAAGCCCCATGTTTTTGGAACCTCTTTTCGTCTTTTGGGTTCCATGTTCACTCTGAAGGAACATTTCGCAAACCTGAGCACCGTGTTGCCTCAAACACCTTCCAAAAAGGGGTCCCTATTTTGTGGCTTCTGCTTGGTGGGCACGAGGTCCAAGCCGATCGGCGGCGTCAGCACAGTCTCCCTGCCCCGCGCACAGCTCCGTTCAGCCTCAGATGTACAAAGCGACGTGAGCACTCACTGTGTGATAGCTAGGGAACCAACACGCAACCAGCATTGACTTGAGGGATTCCTAGTTTTGACACATGTCCCTGTTGCTTGTGCAGTGCCCAGCAATGAGAGATCACCTCAAACATGGTACATATAAATCCATGTCAGGGTCCATTTCTCAAAATCCGCCAAAGCGCTGTTCCCCCAGGCTTAATCTTCAGGCGGTGGTTTACGACCGCGAGCAGCGTGGGAACGTGCCCTCCGCCGCTGCCTCAAGTCGATCGCTTCAGTTTTCCGTAGGGAGCCTATGGGTGCTTCTCAAAGACCCTAAAGATGGTTGGTTTCCTTTTGTCCAGGTCCATCTTTGGATCGTGATCTGCCTGATGTTTATGGCCCGTGTTCAGTGAACCAATCCACAAATAAGGAAAGTTCCATAAGAGGTGGTTCATCAATTTGTCGATAGAATGTACCACTAAACCCACGAGCTCCTTTTCGAGGGATCACTTTGCAGTGGTCGCTGTTATGCACATTCCTTTTTGGAGGGTTCCTTACCTCCCGTGGTGCTGTGGAATATATATTCCAGATACCCTCCAGGTGCTTTTTGCCTGTTGGAGGAAGTGTAACCGAGCTCATTCTTGAGGCAACATGATTCGGGTCACAAAGGGTTCCCCTTACCCAAGGTGCGCTTGGTACATTAGCCGGCGCAGGGGCGGCTACGGGACCTAACGGGCACCCTTTGTAAAGGACAATCCTGTCCAAGGCTTCCAGTTTTTGCTCCCCCCAAGGAGAACTTCAATCTATGAGGTTCTCTGGTGAAATCAACCGCTAGGTTTAAACCCTGAACCCACCCTGAACCCTGAAGCTCGCACCCCAAAATCCCGACCGTACACCCTGAACGCTGAAACAGCCTGGGGAACCCGCCAGGCAAAGAGGCGTAAAGCGGCTGTGGCGGCCTCGGCGAAATTCAACAGCTGAAACAAACAATGTGCGGTGCGCTTGCGTTTCTTGTTTGTTTTTGCTTTTGATCCGTCGGTCCGCGGGTGGAAATACCGTTGTCTTTGGTGTTCGGTTGTGTTTGAGGCCTCAAAGCATGTCCCGTTGCATATGAAGAGATCACTTCGCAGCATATGAAAGGAACACAAGTGCACTGCTCAGGACTGCAGTCACGCCTGCAACGATAAGAACACCTGCTCAAGTGCGCCCGCTCAGCACTGCACACACACACACACACGCCTGCACACCCGCTACAGGTGCACACGCTCATCACTGCACACAGGCCTGCCCACTGACTAGCGCTCCCGCTCAAGTGCATCCGCTCAGCAACGCAAACACGGTGGACTGGATAGACTCGCGTGCTGCCTCCAATTGGCGGTATCAACACCGAGACGTAAACGTGTGAAAATAGCAGCGGCTCATGTGTCTTTGTCCGGGCAAACCTCCATCGAGCGTTTCTGGGTTGATTTCCGGGCAGCCCCACTCGGTGAACCTATTTGTTGTTGTGGTTGTTGTTGTTGTTGTTGTTGTTGTTGTTGTTGTGGTGGTGGTGGTGGTGGTGGTGGTGGGTGGTGGTGGTGGTGGTGGTGGGTGGTGGTGGTGGTGGTGGTGGTGGTGGTGGTGGTGGTGGTGGTGGTGGTGGTGGTTGTGGTTGTGGTTGTGGTTGTGGTTGTGGTTGTTGTTGTGGTTGTTGTTGTTGTTGTTGTTGTTGTTGTTGTTGTTGTGGTGGTGGTGGTGGTGGTGGTGGTGACTGGTGGTGGTGATTGGTGATGGTGACTGGTGGTGGTGACTCGTGGTGGTGACTGGTGGTGGTGGTGGTGGTGGTGGTGGTGGTGGTGGTGGTGGTGGTGGTGGTGGTGGTGGTGGTGGTGGTTGTGGTTGTTGTTGTGGTTGTTGTTGTGGTTGTTGTTGTTGTTGTGGTTGTGGTTGTGGTGGTTGTTGTGGTCGTCGTGGTCGTTGTGGTCGCCGTGGTCGTCGTGGTCGTCGTGGTCGTCGTGGTCGTCGTGGTCGTCGTGGTCGTCGTGGTCGTCGTGGTCGTCGTGGTCGTCGTGGTCGTCGTGGTCGTCGTGGGCGTCGTGGGCGTCGTCGTCGTCGTCGTCGTCGTCGTCGTCGTCGTCGTCCTCGTCGTCGTCATCGTCGTCTCGTCATCGGCGTCGTCGTCGTCGTTGTCGTCGTCGTTGTGGTCCTGGTGGTGGTGGTGGTGGGTGGTGGTGGTGGTGGTGGTTGGTGGTGGTGGTTGTGGTTGTTGTGGTTGTGGATGGTGGTTGGTGGTGGGTGGGTGGGTGGGTGGGTGGTGGGGGTGGGTGGGTGGGTGGGTGGGTGGGTGGGTGGGTGGTTGGGTGGGTGGGTGGGTGGGTGGGTGGGTGCGTGGGGGTGGGTGGGGTGGTGGGGTGGGTGGGGTGGGTGTGTGGGTGGGGTGGGTGGGTGGGTGGGTGGGTGGGTGGGTGGGTGGGTGGGTGGGGTGGGTGGGTGGGTGGGTGAGGTGGTGAGGAGGGGTGCGGTGGGGTGGGTGGGGTGGGGTGGGGGTGGGTGGGGTGGGGTGGGGTGGGGTGGGGTGGGGTGGGGTGTGGTGTGGTGTGGGGTGGTGTGGGGTGGGGTGGGGTGGGGTGGGGTGGGGTGGGGGTGGGGTGGGGTGGGGTGGGGTGGGGTGTGGGGTGGGGTGTGGGGTGGGGTGGGGTGTGGGGGTGGTGTGGGGTGGTGTGGTGTGGTGTGGTGTGGTGTGGGGTGGGGTGGGGTGGGGTGGGGTGGGGTGGGGTGGGGGGGTGGGGTGGGGTGGGGTGGGGTGGGGTGGGGTGGGGTGGGTGGGTGGGTGGTGGTGGTGGTGGCTGCGGCGTTGTTGATATTGCATGAGTGTGCGTGTTTTGCATTCAGACATATGCGCTGCATGTTACAAGTCGAAGGCAACTCATATTGAAACAGGCATAGACATACTGCGTAGAACAGCAATAGAAGCCACAGATCTTGAACTCGACATGGAGCAAATCACATAAGTCAACTTACGTACGCATTCGTTTGCTGCTAAAGCCGGAATATCTTCTTGTCTAACAGCACGAGACCGTGTGCTGAGGCCGAAGCGAAGGCCAAGAACGATGGAGTCCGGCACCAAGGCTCTGGTGTGGCTCCCGTTGCAAACACCTGAGGCACAAATCGAACTTTGGTACCTGAAGCTTACTAAACCATAAATAGATGGAATCGCGTTTTTGATTCTTTGCCTGGATTGTTTGTGTGGACCTCTGAAGTACCGGGTTTTCGTCCTGATGGATGTGAAACACAGGTTTGTCACGTTGTTGTATCTAGGACCAGAACAGGGTTCTGCCATCTTTTCAAGAGATCGGGACCCAGCAAAGGAGCCTTGCCATTTGCTCAACCCTCTTGGCTTTCATTCATGCACAGTGTCGGCCAAGGTTGACATGCGCAACGCTCGCGACCAGCGAGAAGCTGAAGACAAGCCGGAAGCTTGGGACAAGTCAAGAAGGTCTGGCTCTTCCTTCATTCTTCCCAAGAATCAGCAACATGTTCAGTGCTTGGGCTTGGCAAGGGGCGGACCGGCCAGCATGGGAAGCGCAAATTTGGCAGGATGTTTTGTGCTGGGATTTAGTTGATCGAGCTCTTTTTGGCAGATCCAGCGGCGCGCGCGTCAGAAGTTGATGCTTGCAGAGAGGAACCAGCATGAGTTACCAACCATGTCGATTCCAATTCGCTCTGACAGATATCCATGTTTGTGCCATGGTCAAAACATCAAAACACGTTTTCACTTGAGTAGAGTTGGCCATCAGCCCTGTAGTAGGGAATCGCGTCGAAGAGAACCATAGCCCATGACCTGCAACGGGTGGAGGATTGACCATGTACATAAACAATGGTCAATGTTCACCGCCATCTGTGGTCAAGTGCATGACATAGGGTAGACTCACCAAATTGCCACTAAAAATTGGGGCAAACAATATTAAGTAGAAGTAAGGTTTGTAAGTAGGGGTGCTTAGCCATAGTAATGTATATAGATATATACACAGGGTTACAAATAGAGCAGAAGAGTACGCTTTGGGGCCTGTGTTTGTGCGCAACGGCAAGACCAAGAAAATCCCGAGGGAACCAAACAACACAAAAGCGAAGACAGATACAGACCCCAACCACCTCACATGAGACCTGACACCTGAGACTTAGGGTCTGCGTCTTTGTCTTTGTTCTTTTAGTTGTTTGTGGTTTCATGAGTTTTTTTTGTTGAGGAGATTCCAAACACAAAAAACAAATAAAGGGACAGACACGAATCAAGAACGAACACATAATCACACATAATCCGCAGAATTCGCCTCCAAACTGGTTACTGCTCTCTCGCGTGCGTTCTAGGGATCCATGGCTATCTTTGATGCATCCAATTGGAAAGGTAACCCTGTGTATATTCGAATTTTGAATAGAATGAAGTCTAATCGAAGTTCTAATATGACATAGAAATTATGACTGGATCGTTCCCTTATCAAACTCTGTTTACTCTCTAATCGAATTGCAAAGTTCTATTGGAAAAAGAACTCTATCTAAATAAAAGATCAAAGGTACGTTTTTTAGTAGGATTCGGAACAAGTATTTCTTTGCTGAATCCCACATAATTCCTATTCAAGCTCAAATTGAATTTAAGAGAGCCGCTGTTGGTGGAGACGCGCATTGAGAACCATCACGCCACAACACACACTGCTTTACGGTGTTTTCTGACCATGGTAGTGATGGAGCTAGGAAAAAGGGCACGATTGTGGCACCTCTGAATTCTTCCTTTATGAACTGTACTTGCTACCTTCATTCTCAATTCCTATCTGAAATTAAGCATATTTTTCATAAGGAAAGACTCCAATCATAATTTCTGTTTAATATAGAATCTTAAAACATGTTTTCGTTTCAGTATACATGTTGCGCACGGTTTTCTTTCCAATAGCATTTTCTTTGCACACCAAGACGCATTTACAACAAATTTGGGACCCCTGAGGTCTTGCCTTACTTACAGTGAAACACACTTTATTCAACAAATTTGGGACCTCTGGGTTCTTTCCATCTCCATGTGATTTCTACTAGTCTTTTCTCGCTGAAATTAAGAAGAACTTACTAAGGAAGAACGCAATTAGAGGAAGCCATCTCTAGCTTACAGTACTCGGGCTTGATGATCACTATAATTCAGAATAATTGAAACCTCCAAAATTCGAATGCGTTGGCTCGAGCAATTGGCTTTCAACACTCTTTTCTATGTAAGACGCTGATCGTATGTCCTTGGTTGGATTGTTGTTGCTTAGTCTGTGCACAGTGCTGCGCATAATGAGGGAGAACAATGCTCTTGCCAGCGCGTGGGTCGATCTGTATACGCTCAAAAAACACTAGAAACATTACAGATACACGCAGAAACGCAGCCCCCACGGCGAACACCATTGCATTGAGTGTAGCGGAGTTTCGGAGCGGTGCGAAGATTTGTCAGTGTCATCATGGAGTCTTTCAGCAATTTCGGTCTAAGACTTTGAGGCAATAGGCGCCACCGGGAGAAATTCCTGATTTACCGGCTTCGGCCATGGCCATGGCCTGGCTGTCTGGGGATGCTGATGGTCCCAGATGGCGGGAATGGCGTGGGGCCCCTGGCGATTTCCTGGAGATGAGAATCCAGGACGATTACGGGCAGGATCAAGGGGCCGTGCTGGTAAGGCTGTTGAAGTACGTGCGCTACACGAACAAGGGCCACTGGGTGCAGGCACGGCACGTGACTTGCTCTGATGACTACTACCGCTGGTGGGTCGGTGAAGGAGCAGGAATGGCACTGTGCGAGAAGGGCAACTACCACCTCTGCAGTGGTGCAGCAGCAGAGTGCGACGCACGCTTTGTTGCTGGCTTAGTGGTGCACGCCGAAACCTTCAGGGTAGTGACTCACCAGGAGATGCTGGAAGGTGTGAGCAGGTGGATGACTAAGCAGCCAGCGGCCCGCGAGATTGAGGCCTACTTGAATGAGTTCGGGGGCGGCTTGCCGCCGGTGGTCCCGGATCCCAGGCAAGAGCCCAGGCTTCTTGGGGGAATGGCTGTTCAGAGTCCGAGGAGCGTGGAGACAGCCCGAGCTCCGATTCTGACAGTTCTGAGGACACCGGCTCAAAGTTGCAGCTGTTGCGGGACGAGTTGGCAAAAGCTGAAGCCAAGGCCAAGCGGAAAGAAGCCAAGGCAGAAAAGAAGCGTGGCAAGGAGCCAAAGGAGAAGGCGAAGGGAAAGAAGCCGGACAAGCTGAAGGAGGCGTTGAGGAGCAACACCAACAAGAAGCAGGAAAAGAAAGGCAAGAAGAAGAAGAAGAAGGGCAAAGGCGTGAAGAAGCGCAAGAAGGAGGTCTCGTCCGAGGGCAGCGAAGAGGCGGAGGAGCTCTTCCAGCCACGAGGTCCCCGAAATGAAGATGACGCTAAAGGGTCCAAGGCTCGAGGAGACAGAGGGCCTTTTGGATGCGGGCCCGAGGTCAACTTCCTTGCGGCTTCAGACGGCTCAGAAGAGTCGGGTTTTCGCGAAGCCCCCTCCACGTCAAAGCGGAGCTCCCAGCTGACTCTCGTGAAGTACGCTCAGGAGCACCCAGGGCGCCTTGCCAGCCGGCTTCTGTTGAAGATGGAGGCGGCGAACGCAAGGGACGGGGAGGGGGCGAAAGCTTCGCCGTGCAACAAGACCCCAGCAGCAGCTACGCACTACTTCCTCACCACGCTGCAGCCCCAGCTGGGGCCAAAGCTGAACATGAGGTCGCAAAGGGAGCTGCGGACGCTTTCGCAGCTGACCTGCTTGCCGTGGGAAAAGTCGGTCAGGCAGCAGATGTGATTGCGCAACGAATGAAAGCAGTGGAGAAAGCGACCTTGGAAGGGCACTGGAATTCGGCCCAATTCTTGGAGCTCATAGCGCCCGAAGGGGCGTCCTTGTTGGAGAGGGACGAAGAGGTCTACCTGGCAAGAGAGTACCTCCTGGATCAGAGGCTGAAGACATACGACCGAGCTCCCTGGAAGCCAGACTCGAAGGGGAAAGGCAAAGAGAAGGGACAGGGCAAAGACCGGAAATCCAAAGGCAAAGAAAAAGAAAACTCGAGAAGTGCCTAGAGGGCGAGTGGAGTGACGCTGGTGATAGAGCTCGGTGCAGGAGAACGCTGCAAGAAATGCGCGGCTATTTGAAGCAGCTGCTTGCTGAGCCCAGGTCGCCAGTTGCCGTGCTGGGCACCCTTGGAGAGTGGATGTGCGCAATGCCGACCCCCCTCGGAAAGTTTTGCAGGCGTTTGACCAGAAAGGGAGTGCCTCCCGGGGCCACGTGGCCTTTCCCGAGGGGGGCAGACCTTTTTCCCATCCACACAAGCAACTTGGCAGCAGCGCTACCGCAAGCAAATTCGGATGTGGTGCAAGCGACAAAGGGGGTGCTGGATGTGTTGAATTTCCTCTACCTTGGTGGAACACCTGCCCCATGCCAAACCCAGCACTCACGCGCCCAGCGCGCGGCAATTGAGCGGATTTGCTGCGCAGTGGCAAGACTGGATGCGCGTGATCTCACCTGCCCAACTTGGGAAGTGCTGCAGGAAAGCCTGGGCGCAGCGAAGTTTGATTACGCTGGGGAGCCTGTCCACCCCATGGAAGAGTTGCAGGCGGCGAAGGTCATCCCAGCCTGGCCGAGCCCTGGAGAAGCAGCAGTTCAAGAGGCCGTCAACTTCGTGGGTGACAGCATGAAGGAGAAGTTGCTGAACCCGCACATGACGCTCCGACCTCGGGCAGAGTGGCCCGCCCGGCCGCCAAAGTCCAGAGTACGAGCTTCGGACGAAGAGTGGGAAGCCATTTGCAAAGCTGCGGCGGCCAGAGGTCTCATGAGGGGTGTGCGCGAAGATGAGCTTTTCAAAGATCACCGGGGCGTCCCCGTGCTCAACGGTGCAGGAGCTGTGAAGAAAGTGAAGAGCACGCCAGAGGGGCCAAAACAAGTGCAGCGATTTATCTCAAATTTGATTCCTTCCAACGCATACATGGAGCACATTGAAGGTGACGACAAGTTCCTTCCTTACCTGGGTCAGCTGACTCTCCTTTCCCTCGGCCCCGAGGAGGAGCTGGTGATTGACTCTGAAGACTTTACAAGTTGTTTCAACCTGTTCAGGTTACCCGAGTGTTGGGCTGGTTACCTTGCTTTTGACAAGCAAGTGGATGCGGCCATCTTCGGCGGCACGCCGGGGGAGCGTGTGTGGCCAGGCATGGCAGTGATCCCTATGGGGTGGTTGAACGCTGCAGCGGTGACCCAAACCATCGTCCGCACTTTAGTTTTCCAAGAGGCAGGAGTGGCAGAAGAGACTGAAGTCAGAAAGACCTTCCCGCTTCCCTCGACAGCTTTGACGAGATCAAGCGGGTCGAAAAAGGCTTGGCTAAGGTGATGGAAGGAAGCCCATCTCCAAGTCACCAAGCCTTCGTGGAAGCGTGTCAGCGCTTGGGCCTGCCGCTCAACGACAGCAAGAGGCTGGTTGGAGCCATGCAGGGGGCCTTGCAAGGTGGTGAGCTGGATGGAGCGGAAGGCGTCTACCAGTTGGCCAAAGGCAAGCAAGCAGCGTTGATAGGGCTGGGGGCATGCTTGTGGTCACTTGACACGTGGAAGGAATTTGACCTCCGGCACTTCGTAGGTAAGGCAGCCTTTGGCATGTGCTTCAGACGACCGCTTTTCAGCGTGTTGGGAGAAGTTTTCCATGCTGGGAAGACTAGAGGCGCAACCAGTGACCCCCCAGCCAAAAACAATGGACGAAGTGGTAATGATCATGCTCCTTACCCCCTTGATGGGGTGCAATCTCAGGGCCCGGTTGGATCATGAAATTTCTATTTCAGACGCTAGCCCCACTTGGGGTGGCGGAGCCGTGGCTTCCGAGTTCAAGCGTGAGCCAGACACTGACGAGCACGATGGAAGCCACTGCTTCATGTGCAAGAGGTGTTTTGGGAATCAGGGGCGCTTGCCCTGCCCAGCCTACTGCGGGGTGGCGCTGTGCAGTCTATCCTGCATTGCCTTGCATCGAAAAAAGTCGTGCAGGCGCAGTGACCAGGCGCTCCCACGCTTTGGTGAAAGGTTTGCAGACGAACGCGCGCCCTTGTCCCACGCAGTGGCCAGGCAAGGGGGCTTTGAGGTGCAGATGCCTTTTGGCTTGGCGTGGGGGACAGACTTTTTTACAGAGCAGGGCAAGGCGGTGCTGCGCAGCATGGAAGACGACCCTCTGCTGGCGGCTGAGCATTGGGCGCCGGAAAGCGCGCTCTTCTGCCAGGCCAGAGAGGCGGCGATCGTTTTGCCGAGTGGCCGGGCAATAGCGGGGCCGCAGCCCCTTCGCGATGCTCGGCATGTGATGGGATTTCCATGGGTGAGCAATGAGATGAAGGGGCGGCTGCGCAAGAGCCAGATGGCGCTGAGAGCTTTGAAAAGAGGCAAGCTGTGTGCAGAAGAAGGAAAGTGGTGGTCCCTGGCACACCCCTTCAACAGCTGGCTGTGGAGCTTCAGCATGGTGCAGGACACGGAGTTGGCTGGAGCAGACTGGAGTGTGGGCAGCGCACGCCGTCCGGGCGGCGGAGGTGAAGAGTGGTTCGCCCTACTGCATTGCCCTCGGCGGCTGCAGGACTACTTGCACTTTGCTTCCTCGTCTGACTTCTGTTCCCAATATGCTCGAGCCCTGTTTGACGAGTTCTACCCGAAAGGCTTTTCGGACAGCCGGAAAGAGCAGCGGCAGCGCTGGCTCGCGCAGCAGCTCGGAGAGGCAACTGAGCGGCTGAAGGAGTTGGCAGGGAACGAGCAGGTGCTAGACTACCTCTGGCAACAAGAACAGCAGCTTGCGAGGGGTGCTGAGTTTGAGCACCTGCAAGCTTTGGTGAGGCAGGCCTCGCACAGGGGCACGGACACCCGCACGTTGATTCAGCTGGAGGAGGACGTCCATGAGCTTCCTTACCCAGCGTATCGGTGGTGGTGGAAAGAGGTCATGAGCTACAGATGGAAGCACAGCGGCCACATCAATGAATTGGAGCTGTGCGCTTTCATTGCCATGTTGAAAAGAAGGGCCCGGAACAATGACCTTGCATGCATGCGCTATGTCCATGTGGTGGATTCAATGGTGACCAGAGCGGCAGTGGCCAAGGGGCGCAGCTCTGCGCCGCGGGTTAACCGTCTTTTGAGGCGTGTAACTGCCTTGGTCTTGGCAATGGATTGCTACCCTATGGTAACTTGGACTACCAGCGGTTGGAATTTTTCAGATGCCGCGAGCCGCCGATAAAAGACATTTGCGGTTTGCAGGGTTGCAATCTAGGACCTTGACTGCCTACAGAGCCGCCATTGAACGTTACATGGACTACGCAACAGAGAATTCAATCCAGTGTCACCGAGCCAGGCATCTTGATGAAAGCTTGGCTGAGTATTTGAACACGTGCTACCAAGAAGGAGAGCCCCTTGCCTATGCTGGGCATTTGCTCAGCGGGCTCAAAAGATTTCACCCGAACTTGCGTTTAAAGTTGCCCATTGCTTCGCAATTTTACAGGAACTGGCAGAGATGTCACACACCACAACGAGCAGTTCCTTTGAGTTGGCATGCCACCCAAGCTTTGATTGGGGTTGCCCTTGAGGCTGGTTGTGAAAGTTTGGCCTTGTTGTGGTTTTTGGGGTTTGTGTGTTTGCTTCGCACCTCGGAAATGACTGGCCTCAAGCGGTGCCATATCTTGCTTCATGATCATTTTGCAGTCAGCGTCATTATTCAGTTTTCCAAAACATCCAGAGGCAACGCGCAGGTAGTTTCATTTTGCGACCAGAACCTGTTCAGCCTGGCTCAAAGGGTCAAGCAAGCCGGGTCGTCTCAGTCTTTGATCTGGCCGCACAGCGTTCAGTCTTTTCGGTCCGTACTTCAGGGCTGTTTGAATGTTTTGCGGTTCCCCCCAGGTTTTTACCTCCCTTACTCCTTGCGACGGGGGGGAGCCACGTGGTGGTTTCAGAGCACCCGGAGTCTGGACGAAACAGTCCACAGAGGTAGATGGGCTTGCCAAAAGACTGCCAAAATTTACGTTGACGACGGGTTGCTAGTTTTGGCTCAGCTGGCGTGGAGCAAACGGCAGCGAAGGGCTGTGCGAAAATACGCCAAGCTGGCTAGAACATCTTTCGATCGGCTGCGCCAGTGAACAAACTTGGGCTATGGAGTCCTGCAGAAAAGGCGCGGTTCGCTTTGCGTGCTGCCACCCTTTTAAGCTCTTGAGCTAAAGGGTGGGGCTCTGCGGTTCGTTTTACCGCTTTTACCAACCTCAGGTTGTGCATGGTTTTTTGTGCTGTCTAGAATGGATTTATTTTCCGGATGCTCTCGCATGAGCCTCCATTTGACTAACTTTGAGGCACTCCCGATCAAAACCTTGCGCTGCGACATGAGGCAGTTGACAATGCATTGAGTGTAGCGGAGTTTCGGAGCGGTGCGAAGATTTGTCAGTGTCATCATGGAGTCTTTCAGCAATTTCGGTCTCCCTCCACCTCCCCTGTCACCGGCCTGTTGCGCTGTGTCCTCGGCGGCTTGGAGGCTCTTTAGCTTCACTTGCTGGGAGAAGGCTCTTGAGCCTTGCGTGCTGCCACCCCTTTAAGCTCTTGAGCTAAAGGGTGGGGCTCTGCGGTTCGTTTTACCGCTTTTACCAACCTCAGGTTGTGCATGGTTTTTTGTGCTGTCTAGAATGGATTTATTTTCCGGATGCTCTCGCATGAGCCTCCATTTGACTAACTTTGAGGCACTCCCGATCAAAACCTTGCGCTGCGACATGAGGCAGTTGACAAATACATATATATATATATACATATATTTGCATACACATATCCAGAATCATATACATGTGTATATATATATATAGAGCTTTGGCTATCATCCTTTACGAAGAAGACGTGACCATGCATATGGGTCAATCTCCGGCAGGTCTGACTTGGTGCGCGCACGGCTCGAAGAGAAGGCGAGAAGGCGCGAGATTTCGGAAGACGTGCGTGGCAAAGGTTGCGCCGAACCGAAGCTTTTTTGGATCGGATCCTATACAAAGCTTATACAAAAGGATGGTATATACCCTGGCTTCCTTTGGGCGTAGCGGTTTGGAGTGGCAATCATAGAAAGAGAGATTGCTGGGTTTGATTTAAAAAGGGAAAACAAAAACAGACCTGGAACCCCCAAGGGAACGGAAACTCTTCGTTTTGGGTTCCTTCCCTTCGTTTCCGCCGATCTGAGGCTCTCGCGGGGGAAACCGCTTGTTTTCTGGGCGATTTGTTGGCATGGCGGGCGTCAAGCCTTTAACCCGGGGTTGCGTCGGAATTCCTTGGAGGTTGGTTTGCGCCTTTCGGAAAGGTACTTTTTTGAAGCGGGTTCGTTTGCTTGCTCCCCTTCCTTGGGTAAAAAAGAAAGCGCAAAGGAACCACCTTTTCTCAGGGTGCTCGATATTGGAAAGGCACAAATGGCCAATGACATGTCTCCCATGGTCAATATCAGTGTTGCTTGGTGCCTGAAGTAATTAGCTACCCTTTAATCGCCTTTTCAGGCACGTTTCACAAGGGTGAGGAAACCATGACCATGGCTGAGGAGTCTGAGCCATGGCACATGTGTTGCAACAAGTTTCCAGCATGTGCTGCCAGTCTGTAGCCGAGCACTCGAGCAATCCATTCAAGGTACGAGGCCATGGCCGCCGGCGGGGCATCCGCTGAGAAGGCGGCGCTGCAAGCGACTGTGAATCCAAACGGGAGTCTTTGCTACGAGAAACCGCTAAGGTATCCCCAAACATGGCCTTACTTACCAAGCCTTACCATGCCTTATGAAGGCTTACCAAGGCCTTGCCGGAGAGGTCCCCCTTGTGGCCGCCTTAGGGGGGAATGCCTTCTGATTTCATGAAACTGCGGAAAGACGAAGGAGACTGGTTCGTGCTCAGGAGGAGCCTTTGATCGACTTCGACAGGAAGCGCGCGGAGGTATGTGGAAGCCGCAACTGGTGGGGGGACCTTCCCATCCAGCACCCTCGTACCTTGCATTACATGGTTGTGGGCACCCTCTTTTGCTAATGTTGACCGTGGATCTCTCAATCCCTGAACCTTCACTTTTGGGGCCCTATTATTCCATCAGGTTGATTCATGTACTGGGTTTGGTTTCGATGTCAGATGTTCTTGTGCAAAGCACCGTTTATGCTGCTGAGAGCTTGCCAGGGCCTTCTACCTCCTGCTGCTCCCCAGGCTGGTCGCTGTATATCTTCCGAAGTGTGGACCCGAAGGTCTTGAACGGGAAGTCGATGCAAAGCTGTGCGAATTGGGGACGAATCGACATTGTCCTTTGAGCACCAGCCACAAGAGGATCTGTCGTGCAAAACTGCTTCCGTGTACAAAGTGCTTGCCGCCAGGTTGACGAAACTGCCCCGGAGGAGTGCTTGAAGCTTCCGGATTCCCGAGGCTTTAAAGTTGTTTTGTGTCACGCCTTGGAAGCGCCCTCATGAAGGCACATACATCCTGATCTCTTTCAACAAGTGTTGTCATTTTTTATTCAATGCTTTTGGCGTCTGGGATTGGCATCGAAACTGCTCTCAACTTCTCCAGGAGGCTTTCGCGCCGTGGTCGGTTGCCGGGGGCTCGGCAACTTGTCAGTGCCGAGCTCCAGTGGATCTGAGCCTTGCTGGTCAGGATGTCCTTCAGCAATTAAACCTGATAGAAGCCGCGAACCCGAATGCGGACACGAAAGCGGACTCTTGTCACATCTCGCGTCGCATCTCTAGTCACGTTTCTATAGTCACGTCTCTGGTCACGTCTCTAGTCACGCCTTTGGTCACGTCACTTGTCACGTCTCTGGTAATCTTTGATCATGTGCCGCGCCTCTCGTCACAACTCTGTCACGTCCCCCATCACGTTTTTCTTCTCGACTCCCGTCACGTCTCTTGTCATGTGAGTCGTCACCCCTCGCGTCGCGTCTCGCCGCGCCTGTTGTCACGACTCCGTCGCGTTTCGCGTCTCGTCTTTCTTGGCGACTCTCGTAACGTCTCTTGTCTCGCGTGAGTCGTCGGCCCTCGCGTCACGTCTTTGGTCACGTCTCTCGTCACAACCGTCGGCGCGTCTCTTTTCACACGTCTCATGTCACATAGAGAGGTCACGTGTCTCCTCACACGGCTCATATCACATTTATCGCCACGCACAGTATCTGGCTTTGCCTCTATATATGTATATATTTATATATAGTCACGTCTCTGATGGCGTCTTAAGTCACGTCTCCGGTCATGCCCCTTGTCAAGTTTCTCGTAACAGCGTCTCTTGTCACGTCTCTCTGTGTTTTCTGGTCACGTCTCTTAGTCACGTCTTTTGTCACGTCCTTTGTCGCGTCTCACGTAACAGCATTTCTTGTCGCATCTATCGTCGCGTACCTAGTCATGTTTTTGGTCACGTCAATCGACAGGTCTCTTGTAACAACTCTGACCACATCTCTCGTCATGACACTCATCACATCTTGCATCACGTGTCTCGACACGCCTCATCTCCCATCACGTCTTTCTTGGAGACGTCTTCTGTCACGTCTCTGGTCTCTGGTCACGACCCTCCACGTGTCTTCTCACACGTCTCTTGTCATATTTGTCGTTCTGTGTCTGGAAACCCTCGCGTCACGATCCTTGTCACGTCTCTTGTCGCAGATCTCGTCGCATCTCTGGTCACGCCTTATCTCGCGTCTCTCGTCGCGACTCTCCTGGCACGTCTCTTCGCACCCATCACATCCATCGTCACGCCTCTGGTTACGTCTTTGATCACGTCCTTTGTCACATCTGTCGTAACACTCGTCATGACTTTCATCGCATCTTCCATCACGTGTCTCCACACGTCTGAGCTCGTCACAACTACGTAGGGAGACACTCATCGCGTTTCCTGTCGCGCGTGTCGACCCTTGCCACGTCTCTTCTCACACGTCTCTTGTCATATTTGCAATCCTGTCTCTGGTAACCTCTCGCGTCACGATGCTCGTCACGACTCTCGTCACGACTCTCCTCGCACGTCTCTTGTCAAAATGCGCACCGCCGTCGCAACGAGATCGATTCGAACGACCCAGAGTGCGCAGAGGGTTCACTTTGCAATCTCAAAACGCGCACCGCGCCACGGCGAGAGCGACCCGACCCGCCCAAAGCGCGCAGAGGGTTCACTTTGCGATCTCACAAGGTGCACCGCGCCACAGCGAGAGCGATTCGACCCACCCAAAGTCTGCAGAGAGTTCACTTTGCGATCTCCAAATGCGCGCCATGCCACAGCGAGAGCAACTCGACCCATCAAAGTGCTGCGCCCATGAAATCTGCACGCAAGCTGGAAAGTACTCCGACTGCCACAAAATCTGCACGAAAAGCTCTAAAGTGCTGCACCTGCCACGAAATCTGCACGGACAGCTCGAAAGTGCTGCGCCTGTCACGAAAAATGACGTTTCAGCAACATGCAAAACGCTCAAAATGCTGCGCCTGTCACGTAATCAGAATTTGACACTCTCACATCGCAAGGGGCGAACTAGCGCGGGACTGTAGCGCCAGAATGATTTCGACCGATTTCTTGAAAATCTACAGTCGTGAAAACGAGCCGATTGTACGACAGGGCCAGCGAAAACTACAGTCGAGGAAACGCTTGCGCGCGCATTGCAAGCAAAACACCTCAAAACGACAACTCCTGAAACGCAAATCACAATGGACTTGCAACGCAAACGTGAGCCTTCACAAAACAACGTCTGACATGCTAAGAGCTACAATTCCCGCACAGAGGCACGAAAAATGACACGCTTCAAGTCATCTAAATAGCACGTTTTTCGCTTTCTCCACTGGAGCTGCGACCGCGACACTCGCGAACACATACGGACGCTTGCGGACGCTTGGACGTAAATTCAACGACTTCTGGTCACGTCCCAACCCCCAGAACCCCGACCTCTAAACGGGAACCCTTCTGCTGCGCATTTGGGAAAAAGTGTCCCCTCAAGTTACTTTTTTTTTTGGCTCTCAGATTCGTATTGGTCAAATTACATACAGAAGAACCTTCCTGCGCCATGAATCTATGAAGGTGCATGTTCATTTGCCCAGTGGAGAAGGTTGCTCTATAGAAGTCTCACCGGCGACGCCCATCAGCGAGCTGAAGGCTGCAGGGCAGAAGCATTTCCAGCGCTTCTTGAAGCTCATTGCGGAAGGCCGGCAGCTGGATTTGACGACAGCGGTTGTTCAGCTTGGCAAACTGGCTGGCACAAGCAAGGCGTTCGCATGGCATGGCCACGGCGGCGAGGTTGTGACCTGGGGTGATCCGCGCTGTGGCGGGGACAGCAGCCAGGTGCAAGAGCAGCTGAGGAACGTCCAGCACATCCAAGCAAGTTGCGGTGGAGCTTTTGCTGCCATTCTCGAATCTGGGGCTGTCGTGACCTGGGGTAATCCAGGACACGGCGGAGACAGTGGCCAGGTGCAAGAGCAGCTTAGGAGCGTCCAGCACATCCAAGCAAGTGCTGGTGCTTTCGCTGCCATTCTTGAATCCGGGGCTGTTGTGACCTGGGGTGATCCAGACCATGGCGGAGACAGCAGTCAGGTGCAAGAGCAGCTGAGGAACGTGCAGCGCATCCAAGCAACTCGGCGTGCATTTGCTGCCATTCTTGAATCTGGTGCAGTTGTGACCTGGGGTCGTCCAGAAGCCGGGGGAGACAGCAGTCAGGTGCAAGAGCAGCTGAGGAACGTGCAGCGCATCCAAGCAACTGCTGGTGCTTTTGTTGCCATTCTTGAATCTGGGGCTGTTGTGACCTGGGGTCGTCCACAACTTGGCGGAGACAGGTGCAAGAGCAGCTGAGGAACGTGCAGCACATCCAAGCAACTGCTGGTGCTTTTGCTGCCATTCTTGAATCTGGGGCTGTTGTGACCTGGGGTGATCCAAACTATGGCGGAGACAGCAGTCAGGTGCAAGAGCAGCTGAGGAACGTGCAGCGCATCCAAGCATCTGGCCGTGCTTTTGCTGCCATTCTTGAATCTGGGGCTGTCGTGACCTGGGGTAATCCAGAACACGGCGGAGACAGTGGCCAGGTGCAAGAGCAGCTTAGGAGCGTCCAGCACATCCAAGCAAGTGCAGATGGTGCTTTCGCTGCCATTCTTGAATCCGGGGCTGTTGTGACATGGGGTGATCTAGTCTATGGCGGAGACAGCAGCCAGGTGCAAGAGCAGCTCAGAAACGTCCAGCACATCCAAGCAACCCGGTATGCTTTTGCTGCCATTCTTGAATCTGGGGCAGTTGTGACCTGGGGTCGTCCAGAACTTGGCGGAGACAGGAGTCAGGTGCAGGAGCAGCTGAGGAACGTGCAGCACATCCAAGCAAACAGTTTTGCTTTTGCTGCCATACTTGAATCTGGGGCTGTTGTGACTTGGGGTCTTGAACACGCTGGCGGCGACAGCAGCCAGGTGCAAGAGCAGCTGAGCTTGTAATCTGGGGCTACAGGAAAGAAACAGGTGAACTCTGGATTCCCGCTCCGCTAAGTTTTAGCATATTAACCCTGGGGTTCAATCAAGCATTAGACCCATGGTTCCTAAGGATTGTCATCCAAATTGGGTCACAAGTTGCCATTCTTTTGATGGCTTTTGGAACCTTAAGGTTAACCTTTTGACCACTTCAACCCGCGAAACGATTGAACTTCTCGCAGGGTTATAGCACGCAGTCTGGGATTTTGCCGGCCAGTCTCAGGCTCACGTGGGAGAATTGGTGCGTGTCACATTTGTTTGAGCGCACCCTCAAAGAGAATTGGGCACATACCCCGTAGTGGCAAGAAAGCGTAGCCCTGATTATGGACTTGTGTTGTAGTAGGAACCCTCCTGGTGGCAGCATGGCAGGGCGTTGGCTGACTGAAAGCTTCCCTGGTGCTACCTGACTCCGAGCCCAAACCTTGTGGCCGGCCTTTGCCATGCCACCAGTCTTCTTCTTTTTTTCGCCTTTTTTTTTTTTTTTTCCGGGCATGTTGCGTAGGGATACCAGAGCTCGCCAGCGCTTCAAGCTGAATGGCTCAAGATCGTTGGCCGTGATGACTGAATCATCAGATTTATCGAGCCATGCCAGCAGCTCACCTTGACCGCAACTTCACGCATCTCCAATGGCAAAGCACAACACAAATTCGCTCTCGTGAGTTTGCAGATGGAATGAAGGTGAAGTTGGAGGACATTCTGCTTGGTTCTGGTGCATGGGAATTCGTGAGAGATGCCATACTTGTGATTCAAATAGATACTCAAAACAAATGGAAACACCTATATTGGATGGTTCCCCACTTAGACAAACCCAGATGCACCTTCCGGTTTCTTTCCTAAGGGCTCCCCTATGAATTTGACGCACCACTCTAAGCAGCTTTTCTGATTTCCTTTGGTTGAACCACTGAGAACGATTTAAGATTCCCAGCTTTTGAGGGAACCTTCGCTTCGGGAAACGACCCACCCTACTGTGGATGCACAAAGCCCACTTCGCACCTTCGAATAAATGACAGCCTATGAATACAGGTTGATAAAAAAAAAAGAAAACAACACAAAGGAGCGACCAGGGAAGGACCTTCGGCAAAGCTTTGAAATCGTCTCCCAGTTGGGTCAGGAACCGGGATCGACCCA